CCTTCACGGCGCGCATAACGGAGATAAAACGCCTAAATTACTGGGAGCACTTGAGGTTCCTGAACCTGTATTCCCTGGAACGCAGGCGGGAGAGATACATGATTATATACACCTGGAAAATCCTAGAGGGCCTAGTACCGAACTTGCACACGAAAATTACTCACTACGAAAGCAAAAAACTTGGCAGACAATGCAACATCCCCCCCAATGAAAAGCAGGGGTGTCACTAGCACGTTAAGAGACCATACAATAAGTGTCAGGGGCCCGAGACTGTTCAACTGCCTCCCAGCATACATAAGGGGGATTACCAACAGACCCCTGGCAGTCTTCAAGCTGGCACTGGACAAGCACCTAAAGTCGGTTCCTGACCAGCCGGGCTGTGGCTCGTACGTTGGTTTGCGTGCAGCCAGCAGTAACAGCCTGGTTGATCAGGCTCTGATCCACCAGGAGGCCTGGTCACAGACCGGGCCGCGGGGGCGTTGACCCCCGGAACTCTCTCCAGGTAAACTCCAGGTAAACGTCAGCCACCGGTACAATCTAAATATTAGATGTTTAACAAGCAAGCCGTGTGACTGGCAGACACGTCAGCCACCGGTACAATCTAAATATTAGACGTTTAACAAGCAAGCCGTGTGACTGGCAGACACGTCAGCCACCGGTACAATCTAAATATTAGACGTTTAACAAGCAAGCCGTGTGACTGGCAGACACGTCAGCCACTGGTACAATCTAAATATTAGACGTTTAACAAGCAAGCCATGTGACTGGCAGACACGTCAGCCACCAGTACAATCTAAATATTAGACGTTTAACAAGCAAGCCGTGTGACTGGTAGACACGTCAGCCACCGGTACAATCTAAATATTAGACGTTTAACAAGCAAGTCGTGTGACTGGCAGACACGTCAGCCACCAGTACAATCTAATATCGTTCATCCGGCAGCCACATCAGCTCATGGTGCCGAAAGCCTCTTTGATATATTTAATAATCTTCAATATCAAAGCGCCGCGTCGCCTCGTCATCAAAGCGTAATCGCTCTCTGAATCCTCACACCACAACATGAAAAAGAAAATGTCCATTAAATTCAGAGGAAATAACTCTAATGGCATGGCAAAAAGGATGAAATATGCTGGTGGAAGACGCTATATAATATATTACTAAGTATTAATGTCATTAGCTGTTTACTACCGTTTTTTCATGAGAGAAACAGAAGCTTGTTAAACATTTTGCTCCCTGACACGACTGGCTCTCTTTCCAGCGCTTAAGATGGCAATTAAAAAAATGTCAAATTTAACACTTATCTATACAGTAACATATTCCTTAAGAATTCATAATCCTCTAATGTATCTTTTCAACTCTCTTGGGAAATTGAGTTGGAGTCATTTCCCAGCAGCCACCTATGTTGTACGAAGGAGTTAAATTGCCGGAAATAAAGTTATTTATCCTTTTGCCTCCATTCAGTTACTGAGACTTATTAAAAGTGGGATATTTAAAGTTAGGTCGGTTTACTGTGTTTTTATTGCTGTCTTACAAATGTTTAATAATAATTTGCTGTTAATATTACAATATTATGTGAGACGAGGCTGGATGTCCTAGCACTGTGAAACAAAATTAAACGGGTGAGAGAATTTGAATGAGTGGAAGCAAAAGAAATTAAATTAGGTATCTGAGAGAATGAACAACAAAGAAAAGGTAGAGATAACGTTTAGCTGCAGCAAGAAAGTATGAAGTGTAAGTGTTTAAACTCGTGAATATTTTTAGTCAATAAAACGAAATACAGAATGGCAAGAGATAAATAGACATCCTGTGAAAGCAGCAGAAATTGCAATAGAGAATGTAAGAAATCAGTATCACATAGCGCAGCAACATTGAAACAGAGTATCTCAGAGTATCTCAGACATCAGTAGCACAGCAATGCCAGTATTGTATTATATTAAGAGGATAATTGAGAATGTTAATAATGTTTATATGCAAAGGAATATACTCGGATGCAAACTGCTTATATACAAGTACTAAAACTATTGTAGATTGAAAGATATGCAATTACTGAAAGTTAGAATAGAATGAGATACTTCACTGCAGTATAGAATTCTTCATAAAACAATGATTCATTTTATGTACAAGTCTTTTTAAGTCAGTAACAACACGTAGATTACAAATTTTATGTAGCAGACAGAGAAGACAACAAACACAATGCATATATGGTAAACCATAACACACATGATCAGGTCCACCACTACCACTGAGCTACAAGTTTTACAATAGGCAGCCTTCACAGAGTACACTTTCTGTGACAAGTCTACCTCAGAAACTTTCGTAGTACATTCTTCAAGACCCAATTGTCTAGGAACTCAAGATAAGTCGCAATAAACGACTATCACTGAATAATTAGAGGAATGGACGGAACTCGAACCATCTGTACTGTCTGTGAAACCTTATTGTAAGCTTTGTACCTCAGTGGTACTGTGCTCAGTTTGCTTCATGTTAGAACTTGAGTTCGAGTTCTTGTTTTTGAAAATATCTTTTGTGGGCCAGCAGAGTGTAAGAAAAACAATTAAAGATAACCAACCAAACTCGTGTCGTGTCAAGTATTGTGCACAAGTGAAGGACTCAATAGAAATGAGTCATTTTGTCTTAGACAAAATGACTCATTTCTATTGAGTTATAATAGGTATAATAGGTAATTTACACATGTTAAACTATGAATGGTAACTGTAATTTTGTGCTTCTGTACCTAAATAAACTTGTATACTTGATTTCCTGCCTCAAGGCTCTTCTTATTCTGAGATAAATTGTTTGCAAATGAACTGTTATTAGCATACATATATCTTTTCATGTCATATGGTGAATAATATCAATAAATTTAAATTAATGCAGTTGCTCTTGCAAGTCAAAGTTTTCTTTAAGATAGACTAATGTACAGAGAACGAAAACTTTTATGGATTAACTAGTGTAAAAAGTAATGTATTTTCTGTTTCAAGTATTTTACTCGAATTTGTAATTTTCTCGAGCTTCCATGTAAACAACATACCTTCTAAGTTCACATGATCATGGGTGCGCATGCACTGTATGATATGCAAATATTCTAGTCAAGAATTCTAATAGATGTTTGCCCTCAGCATTGTTGTACAAACTTTTTCTATCTGAAGGACAACATTTGAAGATTTATTATGTGCTTATCTTAGTACCACTAAATGGATACAGATCGATCTCGTGACCGGTATCACAAGAGGCACTACTTTCAGTGCTTGATAGTGTGCTTATCTTATCTCGCTCATCAAGGACCCCAATGGAAATAAGCAAAAGTGTAAATAATTTCTGTAATTGTATTTGTGTATCTCCACCTAAATAAGCTTATCAGTTGCACGCCCAGCTGTCTCACTGTCAGTTAAGAATGTTCTTAATCACTCATTCTTTTTGGTAGTGACCTTGAAGGCACAAAGTTGTGTGGGGCACACATGCAGCATTTATTACCCTACATTTATTTAACTCAGCATTTACTTTTGGTATGTAATATTGTTTTAACCTAAGCCACTCAACAGATATGATGGACTCCCTCTAATACTAAATCAAATAGGATGATTTTCCTTTCATAATCCATCTCCTTCACATTGAATAGTTTCCCCTGTCATAATATATCTCACGGTACGATTTTCTGTAATACATCGTCACACAGAATGGTTTTCCTGTTCATATTCCGTCATACAATTGGGGTATATAACTGAAGTTGTGGAAAATACTGTTCATATTTTCCGGAAATACGGTAATTTATAGGTAAATAGATGCCCTATATTGTATTTTTAAAAGAAGTATGTTATCGAAAATGGGAAACCTGCGGCTGGGGGGGGGGGTCAGTTGCCATTTTGTTTGAATTGAATAACACGTTGTGAATAATGGGAAGAATTTTTCGTGCTCTAGAGGTTAAAATTGGGCTGACACCTCTCAAATTGGAGGCGAAATTGATGGATGTGCATTCCTGCATAATTTGAGAATCAGGTGACAGGACAGGACAACTCCATGAACCTCAGATAAGCTGTCTAAATTATGTTTAATTTCTGGCCAGTAAATTCTTCATAAATGTAGGCAAAAGGGGGGGTCCTGTACATGACACATTCATCTCCAGTCAAATTGGTGAGTGTTATGATTAAGATATATTCTCCTTCTGTTGTATAAATGTGTATATATGTGTATCTATAATCATTTATTATTTTTAATATACAGTCCACAAATTTATATATTTACCAGTATTCCTGAAGTTGTATAATTCATTTAATTAGTAGGTCCAGATCAACTTGTGGATATGACAGTGGTAGGTATCGAAGGGGGACATTTTTTGCGACCTAGGTGTGCCAAATTCCTACTTGTCTAACTGATAAATAATAATTATCTATGTTCATTTACTGTTATGTATATAATGATACATTCAGATAAATGCAATTTTCCGCAGAAGTTATGAAACCTCGGTTTGAGTTGGGCGACAAAAATATCGTCATAGCTGGTATTGTCAACAGTACCAGAGCCCATAAATCAGGATTTATTTCTCCTGATCATAATACGGAGAGATAAATTTGTGTCCAGGGGTCCATATCACTGGTAGCAGGTATAGTGTCAACGATCACATAGCAGCACTAGCTGGTCTTGTCCAAACTTTTTATTTCCAGCACTAGGACTTGTGTCAAAGATTATATAGTTCTTGTGTTCTTTTAATTACTTATTCTAACCACTTATGTACATATATTTTAAGTCTGAATAGTTTTAAGAAGTATAAATAGTGCTTCAAGTCTTAGTTTCACTCCTTTGAAAGAGTTATTGGTCGAGAGCCATAGTTCTTGTCTTGTACACGATACTGTTAAATGTAAATAAATTCACTATGGCAGGATATCATTATAATACATGTGACTATTGACATGAGAAAGCATCATTATAGGAAAACAAAGAACAAAGTACCTGATCAATGTCTTTCTCTGAAGGAATTAGGAAGGAGAATCAAGAGTAACAAGTAATATTTTGATCGTCGTTTTATTATTAATTATAAAAACAACTTATAACACAAGAAAAAATTCCGAAGATTTAATTTTGCCTATTCGGCCGAAGAGGTAAAATTGGTTAATAAGCAAGAAGGACCCCAATGGAAATATATCACTCTGACTTTTTTCGGTTATCCCAGGTTCTCTACACATATGCTGCTTTGTATGATAATTCTATGAAACTGTATTTGTGTATACCTGAATAAACTTACTTAACTCACTGAAAATTAAGTCCTTTCTAAAATTTTCTCTTATACGTTTAAAAATATATATAAATATTTTTTTTTTAATTTATGTTAATGCAAAAAGTAATTATTTTGTACCAGAAGAACCTTAGAAACTAACCTAACTTTATTGTAACTGAATGTATTTTAGATAAGTTTACAATAATTTAAAAATAAACACGATGAAATATATTTTTTTTCGTTAGGCTCAGAATGATGTTTGCAAAATTATTGCATAAACAAATGTGCTGAAACATTGCTGTTTTTTTTTTTTTGACAACACGTATCTAATATGTGTGTGGTTAGTCTTCCAATGAAGATGCATATAAAAAAGCCAACAACTGTTTTCATGCAGTCAATATAACTCCAAGCTTTTGAACAAGTTGCGTTTATTGTCGGTATTCATGAACGCCATATGATCTTTTGCAAATACTTTTATTTCTGTAATGAGAAACCTTCTTACAAATTAATTTTATTACTTCTGACACTGTTTCATGTGTTATGTAGATGTACAAGTGCTCGGTTTGAATAAATAAAGATCTTTGCGCTAGATAAATGATAAAGAAACAGTTTATTTCCTGGTGGCAGCCTGCTGTATCAGTTCATCAAATATGGCGAGGAATCGAGATCGAAAGAGCGGATTGTTTTCCAACATGTTCTGGGACTTTTCTTGCAATGTCTCCGATAACTCGGCAAGGTTTTCTTCCTTCATGTTTATCAAATCAGGAGCATCCTTACTCTCACCTAATAAAACCGGTACCATCATTGCAGCGAAAATCATCCCGTATTCCATCTTATCTTTGTACTCCTGACGAAGTTCCTCTGGGGTGAAAGGCATGTTTCTTCCTCCAGCCTCCATCACCCCTCGGAAGGTGTCGTAGTAGGAGGAGAGGAAGTCCTGCCAGTTTGCTTTCCTGTCGTGACCGTGGAGACTCGTGTAAAGAAAGTAATTGAGGTCTGTGGCAGGAGACGCAACACGATTCACCTGGAGGTCCAACAGCATAACCTCAACGGGATCCCCTTCTTTGTTGTACCTGCAAGAAATGTCTACTATTAATAACATTTGTAAAAACTTTTATAAAAGTTTTTAAAAAATGTAAAACACTACTGAGAAGATAAATGCAATATTCAGTGTAAATGTACATAAGAGGTGCTCATAATAGACAAGTCCACTTTTACCTACCTGAAGAGCATATTGTTGTTCCAGCAGTCACCATGGCAAATGACATCAAACTTGGGATTTCTGGCCAACTGAATCTTTATAAGATCAGCCAAGTTACCCTTGTGCTTGGCTATCCACTGCGCTGCTACCTCATAGCCTTTTATGTTATGCAATAACTGCTGACTACTCTCTAATGGGCCAAAAAACATCCCATTTAGCATCGCTTTTGCACAGTCTGAAAAAGTCATCCAATCAGTTTTAACATGAGTGAACCTATCCGCTAGATCCTCTGTGGGAGCCCTGGCTTTTAGAAGGAGCGAGGCTGCGTGCAGTCTGGCCAGCTCCTGCAGGACGAGATTTGCGTGCGCCACACTCACGCCCTTCTTGCGGTCGAACATTTGAAATCCTCTTGGACGAAGATCTTCTAAAAAAATCATCTCTTTCTCCTTTTCTAAAGATGTATAAAACCATTTCGCTACTCTCAAGGGACTGAAACCAAGAGCGGTCAGTTCATAGTTTAGCACAGGAAGAATTTTTTCGAAAAATTCTGACTCCTTCTTAAATATTGCTAGACCAAATTTCGCAGCGTCTTCACTAAATGACCATTTTGGTAGGAGCTTGACCACGTAAGACGAAGATTGCTTTTTTCCCAGTAGTGAAAACTTGACACTGACGCTGGTAACAATGGTGGCGTAGTTATCGCCTTTGTTAGTGAAGTCCTCAACGCTCCAGGAGATGAGCTTGGCGTCGCTGCCCTTGTCAGCCGTCAGCGCTTCCTTTACGTGTGTCTCAGTGATGTTGTTCTGAGGCCTAACGAGTTCAGCTTCTGGACAGTTTAAAGACCTGGTGGTGGCCTGCTCTATCAATTCATCAAATATGGCGAGGAATCGAGATCGAAAGAGCGGGTTGTTTTCCACCAAGTTCTGGGTCTTTTCTTGCAACGCCTCTGATAACTCGGCAATGTTTTCTTCCTTCATGTTCATCATATCAGGAGCATCCTTACTCTCGCCTAATAAAATAGGCACCGACATTGCAGCGGAAATGAGCCCATATTCCATCTTATCTTTGTACTCCTGACGAAGTTCCTCCAGTGTGAAAGGCATGTTTCTTTCCCCAGCCTCCATCACGCCTCGAAAGGTGTCGTAGTAGCAAGTGAGGAAGTCCTGCCAGTTTGCCTGCCTGTCGCGTCCGTGGAGACTCGTGTATAGAAAGTAATTGAGGTCCGTGGCCGGAGATGCAACACGATTCAGCTGGAGGTCCAACAGCATAACCTCAACGGGATCCCCTTCTTTGTTGTACCTGCAAGAAATGTATACTATTAATGACATTTGTTAAAACTTGTATAAGCAACGTTTAACAATGTAAAACATTACTGGAAAGATAAATTCAATATTCAATGTATATGTTTATAAGAGATGCTCATAACAGACAAGTCCACTTTTACCTACCTGAAGAGCATATTGTTGTTCCAGCAGTCACCGTGGCAAATGACATCAAACTTGGGATTTCTGGCCAACTGAATCTCTATAAGATCAGCCCAGTTATCATTGTGCTTGGCTATCCATTGCTCTGCTACCTCATAGCCTTTTATGTTATGCAATAACTGCTGACTACTCTTCAATTGGCCAGAAAACATCCCATTTATCATCGCTTTTGCACAGTCTGAGAAAGTCATCCAATCAGTTTTAATATGAGTGAACCTATTCGCTAGATCCTCTGTGGGAGCCCTAGCTTTTAGAAGGAGTGAGGCTGCGTGCAGTTTCGCCAGCTCCTGCAGGACGAGATTTGCGTGCGCCACACTCAGGCCCTTCTTCCGGTCGAACATTTGAAATCCTCTTGGACGAAGATCTTCTAAAAAAATCATCTCTTTCTCTCTTTCTAAAGATGTATAAAACCATTTCGCTACTCTCAAGGGAGTGAAACCAAGAGCGGTCAATTCATAGTTTAGCACAGGAAGAATTTTTTCGAAAAATTCTGACTCCTTCTTAAATACTGCTAGACCAAATTTCGCAGAGTCTTCACTAAATGACCATTTTGGTAGGAGCTTGACCACGTAAGACGAAGATTGCTTTTTTCCCAGCAGTGAAAATTTGACACTGACGCTGGTAACGATAGTAGCGTAGTTATCGCCTTTGTTAGTGAAGTCCTCAATGCTCCAGGAGATGAGCTTGGCGTCGCTGCCCTTGTCAGCCGTCAGCGCTGCCTTTACGTGTGCCTCAGTGATGTTGTTCTGAAGCCTGACGAGTTCAGACTCTTCTACACTCGACACTTAGAAAATAAATTAAAATTAATATATATATATTATCTATATACATTTATATACACCCATATATATAGATATCAAATAATATGCTGTGACCGGCCGGGGGTTGAATTCGAGTCATCTAGCTAGATTCCCACGAAGTTAGCTAAACTGTCGACGCTCTAGTCCACTACGCCACCATGCTACAAGACGTTAGGTGTCCAGCATTACACATGCCTCCCTCAGTGCCTAGCACATTTGTGGGAGTGAAAAGCTAAGGAACTAACTTCATTCTCTTCCCGTTTGAATACCAGTCCCACGAGAGCATCCACGAAACAAGTTCCTAAGCGTTTCACTCCCACGAATGTGCTCTGCTTTCGGAAAAGTATGATTAGTGTACAACTAACGTCTTGTAGCACGGTAGCGTATTGGACTAGGGCGTCGACAGTTTAGCTAGCTCCCCGGGAGACTGGCTAGATGACTCGGGTTCAATCCCCTACCGGTCGCAGTGTTTTATATATATATATATATATATATATATATATATATATATATATATATATATATATATATATATATATATATATATATATATAGCACTGATCTCTGGCCGAAGGAGACTCGAACCTACGAACCTGAGAACAAGGTACGCAGTGCTGTACCATCCGTACCACACTGGACCAATACCTTGGCGCCCAGCTTACGCTAGACGTTTTTATCCAAGGCAGCCAGCTTTCAGGCAGGAGGCTTACAGCCTCTGGTTACTGTGATGAATCAAAATGCGCTTGGAAAAGCACTGTTGTTCACTGTGGTTTTATTGCATATTAATTAAGATATCACCTGTTTGTGGTCTTTCTGCAAGTATATATTCAGTGTTTAAGTATCTAAATAACTGAAGAATGCACGAGTAGATTAAATTTAAAGAGTTCTTCAGCAAGGTAAGCTAAAAATTCCTTAGCGTGAGCCCCAGGGAATAGAACAGGAAGACCAAAACTGCCTAATTTCAAGGCTATTCCCATACACACGTGTAGAGGCAGACAACACAGTTTTTGGAGTAAGTATAATAAAGCGGACATGAACAGGGTGTGTGGTTGGCACTGTATTGTACCAATGAGCTACAGTGAATGATTTAAGAACGATAGCTTCCGAGATTTGGTTGCATCAACTGACACCTATTATGTTATTGTCTCACCCTACTCCACTACAGCTTTCTTTGTACATCTATTCTCGTACCCCTCTATTTGAAGTCTACCTGGAGGGTATTCCGGGGATCAACGCCCCCGCGGCCCGATCCACGACCAGGCCTCCCGGTGGATCAGGGCCTGATCAACCAGAGTCTGGTAAGGGCTCTAGATCCAAAACTTGGTGCCACCTTACTTATCGTAGCCCAATCCTTTTCCCAACCAATCCTCAGATATTTAATGAACCCCATGAATTTAGAACTTCCCATTGATTATATTTTTTAAATAGTACTTATATTGATCCCTTTGCTCTTTTCTCATTCACTTTCGACTTTTGTTTCACTAATACTCTGCCTTTGAGTCCATTATCAATCTCTGCACGCCTTGGCACACATTACCATACATGATATATCTGTGACAGGAGAAGGAAGACAAGTGCATGTCCAAGTTCTGGCAACTTTGAGCAACGTTATGTCCGCACGAGCAGTCCACATCCAACTGTGTTTATCCTCAGAGACCAAAGCAACTCACATACGACTATTCATACAACAATAACACGCAAAACACACTGTATATATCTTACTGGTTCAAAGGGATGGAAGACAGGACCAGCAGTGGGCAATGGACTGCGTGCAGCTCAATTGTTCAATGTGGAGTGTTCAGCCGAGGGTCACCGGTGGTATTAATAGGCTATGAAGCGAATATTGTGGGTAGTGCTTTACTGCCATGATAACATTTATGATGACATTTTATCTTAACCAGATTCCTTATTAATATGGTATATAATCCTCACCTGTACTTATGTAGAAAACAATTTTTAACACATTAATCTCCGAGTAGTCACTACTCTGGATTTATTTTTTTTTATTTAATTTCACACTATAAATCTTTGGCAACTTCTCTTAACCTCTTAGTCTCTCTCCCTATCTAACGCATTGATTTGAAGAGATAAGAGCATGTATACATACTCTTGTTAATATATCTTTCTCTCTCTCACACACACATACACGGACACACACACAGACACACGGACTCGCACACACGGACACACACACACACACACACACACACACACACACACACACACACACACACACACACACACACACACACACACACACACAGTCATGTACAAACAGAAGTTTAGCATTTATGTAAGCCACAGGAACTTTAGTAAGAATTTTCCATGTAAAAATAAAGAAACAAAACTTTATCCACGAAGTTTGATAGAACAAGAAGGATTAGAAAACAAACTAGCCCACTGAAGGTCAAGAGGCGGAGCTACGAGATGAAGGTCCACCCCTGCAGGCAGGCAGTGTAGGTCCACCCCTGCAGGCAGGCAGTATTCTTTTAGTGGCAATCGCTGAGGCGAGTTCAGTCACCACTGTGGTTCCCAGTACTATACAGCTGTACTCTCGTCTCCAAGAATCACATCATCATTCTGTCATGTCTGATAACAGTAAGGAAAACTAAATGTTTACTGACTGAGATGTAAGACAAGTGAACGCTATTGTTAAGCTGAGGCATGTTCTTAAGCAAAGCTAACTAAGGGCTCCTAATCCACTGAATTGAAGCTAACCCTTTTCTCATTCCTCAGATCCTAACTCCTTTTCATTGCCCATGAATGTAAAAACCATGAAACGCCAACGGAAGTGGAGATGATCAAGTTGCTGTTTGCAAACAATTCTTTTCTATAAAAAATTCTGGGAAGATGTAATGTAGTCTAAAAAACGTGATTAAATGGAAAAGGAAAAACTGAACGCAGAAAAGAACAACAGAATCAAAATAAATAATATAAGAATTATAATCATTGGGAGGCTTAAACCTGTATGGTTCATGCAAGTCCAGGGAATGGTTAGGTAATAATATTTGAGCTATGAAAGCGCACGTTTTAAGATCAAGTGCCCTTAGCCAGTATCTAGATAATTTTTGTGGTACACAGACGATAGGGTATGAGAACAGATGTACCATGAAATCGGTGAGAATGTGGGATTAGAAAGAAGCGTAACAGAGGGTAACAGTTGAGGCAACGAAGTCGCAGAAGTGTTGATTGTAAAATCTTCATATGGTAAAACCTTGGTGGCTCACGGGTGCAGTGTAGGGCCTCTCACATATCTTGTTTATGAACACTTTATTAATATACTTAAAAAAAAAACGTGCAACGAAGTTTGCCTATACAACTGAGTATTAGTAATAATATTAGTAATATTTGATGTTCCTGCTTTATTCATCAGGGCCCAAGTAAAGAAATTTGTAACTTTTTTGAGGTAAAACCTTTTTTTTTAATTTAATTTACCTATGCATTCTTCTGTGGTTAAGATTCTCATTAAACCTAATGAGTTTAACAGCAAATCACTTCATTACTACCGAATAATTTCTCAAAGCTATACACAATCCTATCTTTCCTGTATTGAGTAATTATATATATGTATATATATATTATTGTACCCACGGAACAAGTGGTATTGATCAATAACAACACTGTACTAGCCAAGGAGTCGAACCCATACTGTTTTGGCTGGACGCATCATTGTATTAAGGATTGTGTGGTCTAGTGGTCTAAAGCGTCATGCGTTTTCTCTCACCATTAGGCGGGCCATAACAGCGTGGGTTCGACTCCTTGGCTAGTGCAGTGTTTATATATATATATATTATATATATATATATATATATATATAAGAGAGAGAGAGAGAGAGAGACAGAAACACACAAGAAAAATGAAAAATTGGTCTGTATTTTTCGATCCCTTGTCATCTGCTGAAGAGGATTCATGTTAATTTGCTTCTACATTTATTTTGATCTTCTACCGACATGCATATTCAATGGAGCTAAAATCACTCTTATTTATTTCTTGTTGCTCTGTAATCTCTTTATTATTGAGCTTCGTGAAATAGATTTTCAACATAACGAAGGTAATGTTAATATTACGTTATCAGCATACAGCATAAGGGTCACTACCTAAGTGTTACATAAATAAAACTATAAGAATACACATAATTATAAGTAATTAGTTGGATTCTCGATATGTGGGTTTGAATATGCTGGAAATGACAATTTCATGTGCACCTAAAACCTGAGAACATCCCGATACTTTCCCCCCCCCCGTTTTATTTTTTATTTTTATTTTTTTAGCTGTTTTCATTCCATTTTTTTTCTCTTCCCCCTCCTCATTCCTTTCCATGTCTTCTCCCTTTTTCATCCTTCCCGTTTATATGTTTATCTCCCTTCTAGTCGGTCACAATCAGTCACAGTTACCAAGTCATCCGATGCGAGAAACCCTTAAGACATATTACATCCGACGTGTTCAGTCTTAAGCTCAAGGACATTTAGGTACCACTGCGTCGTCAGCTTGACAGCAACTGATTTGCTACATAAACTCTGATGATGATGGCTCTAGCACTCCCCTCAATCCTTTCTACCTCAATCTCTAGATATCCTCTACCCCTGCACTACCCACTGCCCCGCTGCACTCATTAACCTACTAATCATCCCACTTCCTTTTGCTACCGGATACCCTTGCATCCTTCCCTGACCTGCTGCGCGTATAACCTTTGTGGTTTAGCGATCCTTTTTGATTATAATAATGCGTCGTCAGCTCACGGATGAGCAGGATGAATGTGCGGAGTGTCGAGTGACTTGTTGCGTGGCGTGAAATGCCCTTCACGGATGCTAATCATGAGGAAGATGGGTGCCTAGGACAGCGTGACATTGCAAAGATTGTGAAGGAGGAGGAGGAGGAGAAGAAGGTAGAAGAGAAATAAACTATCTTGAAAACATCTGTCCCCAACAACAGTTCAGATACTCAGGTATGTTAGAAAACATTTGTCCATGCTTGTTCCTCGGCGAGTCTTGCAACTATCAGCATAATGGCCTTAATATGCATCCCATACGCATCCCATACGCATTCTGTGGTCGGTAGTCAAAAGATTACAATGGGCCATAATGAAATCAGTGAATGAGTCACAAAGGTTTTATAGCTAATCAAGTTAAACCCCTCAAGGGAGGTTCCTTGACACTGGTGAGGGGCTCTTGATCTAGGGGATTGGATTTGTGCTCCAGTTCCCTGAATTAAGCCTGAATATCTTCCATCCCCCCCCACAGGCGCTGTATAATCCTACGGGTTTAGCGCTTCCCCATAATTATAATCAACGGTAATGAACTATTTACACTTTTTGGATCTGGTTGCAGTCGTAATGGGTTGTTTATGCAGACACAGTAGATTCGGTAATAAAACATTTATAGTTTAGTTTCTGTACAGTTTTTAATTTATATATTAACAGGGCATGTTCAAATTTAGACAAGTTCAGATGAGTTATTTGCTAGAGGCAAAATCTTTCTAGAATGGCTGGCAATATGCCACTATACACTCCAGACTGTCACACCTTTACCGAGGGTGAAGCAGGGGACACCGGTACACTCCAGACTGTCACACCTTTACCGAGGGTGAAGCAGGGGACACCGGTACACTCCAGACTGTCACACCTTTACCGAGGGTGAAGCAGGGGACACCGGTACACTCCAGACTGTCACACCTTTACCGAGGGTGAAGCAGGGGACACCGGTACACTCCGGACTGTCACACCTTTACCGAGGGTGAAGCAGGGGACATCGGAACACTCCAGACTGTCACACCTTTACAGAGGGTGAAGCAGGGGACACCGGTACACTCCAGACTGTCACACCTTTACAGAGGGTGAAGCAGGGGACACCGGTACACTCCAGACTGTCACAACCTTTACCGAGGGGGAAGCAGGGGACATCGGAACACTCCAGACTGTCACACCTTTACAGAGGGTGAAGCAGGGGACACCGGTACACTCCAGACTGTCACACCTTTACCGAGGGTGAAGCAGGGGACACCGGTACACTCCAGACTGTCACACCTTTACCGAGGGTGAAGCAGGGGACACCGGTACACTCCAGACTGTCACACCTTTACCGAGGGTGAAGCAGGGGACACCGGTACACTCCGGACTGTCACACCTTTACCGAGGGTGAAGCAGGGGACATCGGAACACTCCAGACTGTCACACCTTTACAGAGGGTGAAGCAGGGGACACCGGTACACTCCAGACTGTCACACCTTTACAGAGGGTGAAGCAGGGGACACCGGTACACTCCAGACTGTCACACCTTTACCGAGGGGGAAGCAGGGGACATCGGAACACTCCAGACTGTCACACCTTTACAGAGGGTGAAGCAGGGGACACCGGTACACTCCAGACTGTCACACCTTTACCGAGGGTGAAGCAGGGGACACCGGTACACTCCAGACAGTCACACCTTTACCGAGGGTGAAGCAGGGGACACCGGTACACTCCAGACTGTCACACCTTTACCGAGGGTGAAGCAGGGGACACCGGTACACTCCAGACTGTCACACCTTTACCGAGGGTGAAGCAGGGGACACCGGTACACTCCAGACAGTCACACCTTTACCGAGGGTGAAGCAGGGGACACCGGTACACTCCAGACTGTCACACCTTTACCGAGGGTGAAGCAGGGGACACCGGTACACTCCAGACTGTCACACCTTTACCGAGGGTGAAGCAGGGGACACCGGTACACTCCAGACTGTCACACCTTTACCGAGGGTGAAGCAGGGACACCGTACACTCCAGACTGTCACACCTTTACCGAGGGTGAAGCAGGGGACACCGGTACACTCCAGACTGTCACACCTTTACTGGGGGTGAAGCAGGGGACACCGGTACACTCCAGACTGTCACACCTTTACCGAGGGTGAAGCAGGGACACCGGTACACTCCATGACTGTCACACCTTTACCGAGGGTGAAGCAGGGGACACCGGTACACTCCAGACTGTCACACCTTTACCGAGGGTGAAGCAGGGACACCGGTTACACTCCAGACTGTCACACCTTTACTGGGGGTGAAGCAGGGGACACCGGTACACTCCAGACTGTCACACCTTTACCGAGGGTGAAGCAGGGGACACCGGTACACTCCAGACTGTCACATCTTTACTGGGGGTGAAGCAGGGGACACCGGTACACTCCAGACTGTCACACCTTTACCGAGGGTGAAGCAGGGACAACCGGTACACTCCAGACTGTCACACCTTTACCGAGGGTGAAGCAGGGACACCGGTACACTCCAGACTGTCACACCTTTACTGGGGGTGAAGCAGGGACACCGGTACACTCCAGACTGTCACACCTTTACCGAGGGTGAAGCAGGGGACACCGGTACACTCCAGACTGTCACATCTTTACTGGGGGTGAAGCAGGGGACACCGGTACACTCCAGACTGTCACACCTTTACTGGGGGTGAAGCAGGGGACACCGGTACACTCCAGACTGTCACACCTTTACCGAGGGTGAAGCAGGGGACACCGGTACACTCCAGACTGTCACACCTTTACCGAGGGTGAAGCAGGGGACACCGGTACACTCCAGACTGTCACACCTTTACCGAGGGTGAAGCAGGGGACACCGGTACACTCCAGACTGTCACACCTTTACTGGGGGTGAAGCAGGGGACACCGGTACACTCCAGACTGTCACACCTGTTTATAATCAACATGTGATAATTATTTATAACCAGTATTCAGCAACACTTGTGTTACATCTAGTCATTTAGGCCTTTATTATTTTTCTTTCACTTGTAGATAAATGTGGGTGGATCATTTAGAGAAAGTGGTAGAGGCTCGATTCTCTGCTAATATTGAGAAAGATACGTTACCGAATCTGTTTTTTTTTTTTGTTTTGCGAGCAAAATACCTGAAATATAGTCATAATATATTTCGTGCAGTACTTTTTCCTAAATTAAACTATCGCAGGAAAGAAAACAGATGCATAATGCCGTAAGACGTATGTATTTTTAAATTTGAAGTGAATGTTGTTGTTGCAGGTAAAGGGAAACCAGTGGGCAGAACCCCTCATACTTTGGTGACGGAGGAGAGTGTAAAAGGGGCATTGCTGGCGGACAAGGGCAGCGACGCCCACCTTGTTTCATGGAAGTTTGAAGACTTCACCACACAAGGCGACAATTATGCCAGCATCGTCAGCAGTGTGAAGGTCATGTTCTCACTCGAAGGGCAAGACTCCGAAGTGGCTTACGTGGTGAAGCTCAACCCTTGTAGAAATTTTGAATCTTTGAAAGGGATGACTGGTATGTTATTTGAAAAAGAAGTAAATTTCTACTTATCTTTGTTGCCCCACTTAAACGCAGCACTGACAACCGCTGGACAGGAGCCATTAAGAGTTCCTAGATGTTTTTATGGTTCCCTCGAGAGGGGCAAAGAGTTTATTTTCCTAGAAGATCTTCGCCCTCGAGGATTCAAGATGTTCGACCGCAGGAAAGGTCTAGATGTGGCGCACACTTCACTGGTAGTAAAAGAACTGGCCAGATTTCATGCTTCCTCAGTTGTGCTGGAGGCAACGACTCCTGACGAAGATCTCGTCGTTCAGCATGATTTCCTAATACGAGACTGGACGGATTTCGATGTTATATCTACGATGTTCGACTCGTACCTAAAAAATGCCATTGATATACTAGGAAAAGTTGGAGGATACGAAAGGTCAATATCCTGGGTTGAAAGTCTCAGATTAAATGTCAGAGAGATTATACTGGAGCAACTGGAGAGAAATGGCAAGCATAGTGTCGTCTGCCATGGTGACTGCTGGAACAACAACGTCCTCTTCAGGTAAGTTGCTTGGTGGTCTATGATTGCTGAAATAAAATATCTTTGTACGATGAAAGCTGGTTTGCCAAGGTGACTGCTGGAACGTCTCTTCAGGCAAGTTGCCTGATCGTCTTCCACAGTTACTTCTGGGAAAACATCTCAAGGTATGTTACCAGGTCGCCTTTAATGGTGACTGTTGAAACAATACGTCTCTCCTGGTAGGTTTGTATTGGTCTTCTTTGATTACTGTCATGAATGATTAATTTTTAAGTAATTTTTTAAAAGACGCTTGTTAGTGAGGTAATGGAGTAGCTTCATTTTCAAAAATACTTTCATATATATATATATATATATATATATATATATATATAATATATATATATATATATATATATATATATATCGTGCCGAATAGGTAAAACTGGTCAGTTAGCAAGAACTCGTTTAAAATAAAGTCCTAAAATTTTCTCTTATACGTTTAAAGATATATTTTTTCATTTATGCTAATGTAAAAATTAATAATTTTGCACTAAAAGAACCTTAGAAAACTTACCTAACCTTATTATAACAAGAGCAACTTAATTTAGCATAATCCAACTAAATATATTTTAGATAAGTTTACAATAATTTAATAATAAACAATAATTTTTTTTTTGTTAGGTTCAGAATGATTTTTGCGAAATTATTGCTTACACAAATTTTCGCTTGCCTTATTCGGCAAGAAGAGGGTTGCTGTTTAAGCCCAAATAGCAAGTTTTACCTGTATATGTAATTGCAGATGTCAATATTTAGATTCTGGTACACTTCCCCCCATCCCTCAACCTGCCGCTGGCCAGATTCTCTATTCTGTGGAGCCTACCTTTCCCACTCGTGTGTGTGTGTGTACTCACCTAGTTGTGGTTGCAGGGGTCGATTCACTGTGTGTGTGTGTGTGTGTGTGTGTGTGTGTGTGTGTGTGTGTGTTGCGTGCGTGGGTGCGTGTTTGCGTGTTTGCGTGCGCAAGTAAATTCGTCGATTTGTGATTGCGGAATCGAACCTTAGCTCCTACGTAACCTAATGACGACCATTTTGTTGGCTTCGAGCTACCTGTGGCATGTTATATTCGCTCTTGATACTCCATATCCAGCTTGAGCCCTATATGTTCTGTGTACTTCTAGAAAGGCAGCTAGGAAAGGAGTAACGGGGCACAAGTTTCTTTCTTTTGGTAATTTTATTTAATATACGAGTATGCTTTGAGAGTCTTTATACTGAAGCACAAATTAAAACTTCCTCTTACTGCGTGCTTTCCGTAGGTATGATGAGGATGGGACACCTATAGAAGTGATGCTGCTTGATCTTCAGGTAGTACGAAAATGCTCGCCGACTACTGATCTTAATTACCTCCTCTTCACCAGCCTCACAGGGGAAGTCAGGAAACCCAACCTGGACACATTTCTGGACACCTATTACAGCTCCTTCCTTAGCGTCATGGAGTCCGCTGATATGGACATGCCGTTTACAGATACCTTCATCAAACAGGAGTTCCAAAGAAAGAATGTCTTTGGTGCCTTATTCGCAATGATGCTTGTTCCAATCGTGCTCTTTGAGCCTGAGGATGTGCCTGACTTTTCATCAGGAACTGATGAAAACATCGATGAATTTATGAATAATTTCAGGACTAAGGGCTTGGAGATGCTCGATACCAACCCGCATTTCAAGTCCAGATATTTATCGATTTTTGACGAGTTAATGGAACTGGGTCTTATCCCATAATTAATGATCAAGCAATTAAATGCGAGTAAATGTAGGTGCAACAAGCAATAGGTTTAAGATTGAGTGTAAATATTTTGTTTTACTAAGAAAGACAGACAATGAGAGAGAGAGAGAGAGAGAGAGAGAGAGAGAGAGAGAGAGAGAGAGAGAGAGAGGATGTAATGTAAAAAAAACATAAGTATGACAAAACAGTCCTAGGAAAACCATGGATACAGGACATAAGCATGACGAGAGAGTAACACAGTGTAGCTACGAAAACAGTCGTCAAGGTCACCAGACTGTCAACACCACCCAAGTCTAGACAGAGACCAGCCTGTAAACACCACTACAGAATGTGTATAAATAGTGACAAGAGTGAAGACACAACTCAAGACAATACAGACAAATGTGTAGACACCACCACAGTCTGTAGAAATCAGACTATAAAGACCAGACTGAACATAATTTCAGACTACAGAGACCAGACTGCCGACATCACCCTAATCAATATATAGAGACCATAACGTAGACACCGCCCTAGATTACATAGACCGTAAGGTAGTAACCACGCCAGACCACAGAGACCAGAACATAGAGAACAAACTGTAAACAAAACCCCATGCTGTAATAATCATACTGGAGAGACCAGACCTTAGATATTAGACAGTAGAGAGCAGTCAGTAAACACTTCCCAAGATTGTGCTTCCTCATCATGAAGTCTTCCTTGAATTTATGGCATTTGTGTATGTTATCCGTATTGCGCAAAGGAGTTAAAAAATGTCTAGTGATGATATATATGAGAGATACTGAGAGACAGAAAGTCATTATCCCTTGAAAGGAATAAGTAACTTGTCTTATCTTAATAGGCAATATAATCATAGTTAATTAAAGAGGTTAGGTAAGGTTCGTCAGGAAACAGGACAGGTCTCTTGACCTGGGTCTTAGATGATGACCCGCCGCTGGAGCTTTTGGTTTTCTGACCGCGGCCTTCCGTTGGCTTACCGATTAAGAGAAGTTTTATTCCAAGGAATTTCGTGATTTATCACATTATCGGGGAACAGGAAAAGTAATAAGGCAACACAAGTGTTAAATAGCTGAAATGTAACCTCGCATGCACAGTGTGCTAGTTGCCTCGCCCACTGGACGTGGGAGAGAAGTCCCAGTGTTCTGTTTTTTTTAAGCCAGGTCACATGATAGGTAAAATTTAAGAGTTACACATAAAGTAAAAGTGAATCTGTTAACATCGCTTATGCTCTTCATAAATTTTACGTATTATGAATGAACCTAACTTATATAATACTGAACTTAAATTCAAACTGCAATCAATATTTTTTTTTATATATTATACTTTATTTTATTATATTTGGTACAAGGACTGATATGCTTGTTAAAACTTTTGGACAATTACTAGTTTGTTAAAATCTCCTACATGAATGATCATTTCTAATTCTGTATTTATGTTGATGTACTCTTCGTTAAAGACTCCTAATTTCCTCATAAAAAATTATTTCATTTTTTTAAAAAGGATTTTGAAGACATAACTATCATCATTTTGGGAAATTCTTAATAGTTTTCTATAATAACAAGATTTTAAAATTCTTACAACTTTAATTTTGAAGCTCATATTATAAAATCTTAATAAAAAAAGAAACTATTTGATTAAGAATGTCCCATACATGCATCAGCATTTGTTTGAAAGTGCACAAACTACAGAATAAAGATATATGCCCAGTTTTCTTTCAGTAATGCAAAGCGTTTTTAATTGCATGTTCAGAAGGGCATTCCAGGGACATTTTCAACAAACACTAATTTTTTTTTACAGTAAATAAAGATATTCATCATGTTTGATGCTTTTGTTTGATTTAATAGGTTTCCTGTGAATCATATGCCTTCCATGGATAATTATAATTTTTGTATTTATGATGCTGTAGTAAACCTGTAAATGCTATGCAGTGCCTGGAGAATGGCTCTAGAATTCTTTAAAAATTATCTAACCATGTCTACCTCTCTGATTATTGCTTTCATTAATCTTTGCAATGTTGACGGAAAAAAAATGAATGTAATATGGCAGTGCAATTCCAGTCCCCTTTCGCTTGTGCTTAGACTTTTAGCAGGATTTTTTTGAAGTAAATTTTTCATTCTAATGCTTAAAAAAGACACATATTGACAATGTTTTAAACAAGTAATTATGTCGTAAAAGTATGACAGATTTGATTGTCATTTTATATATACACTTTTCTCATCTGAAAGGTTTAAAAACAGTACGGAGGATTTATTTCATTTGTAAATACATCCATAGGTAGACCTGGTATTTGAAAATGACTTAATGATAGACATCTACAAACGCCTGTATATATTCAATGAAGAAATGAACGCTTCAGCATCTGTGAGAGAAATGTTTTATTACGTGTTCGAAAAGGTTTATCGGCGAGTTTTTTATTAACAGTAAAGTTATTAAAAATGAAAGCCGTTATTAAAAACAAATTCAGAATGGTGTACTGAACGAATGTTTGATTGAGATAGATAATATTACGCCAAGGATTATAAAAACAAACAAAAACGCATATAATTTACGATTTATTTTAGTTCCTCGCTGAAGAGTTTCTTTGACACAGGAGCTTCCCGCTCCACTAGTTCGTCAAATATGGCGAGGAAACGAGATCGAAACAGCGGATTGTTTTCCATTTGATCAGCATATTGTCATGAAGCTGTTGTCCTAGATTCTGCATGTCATCTTCCTTTGCGTTAATAATATCAATAGCATCATCACTCTCGCTTAACATTACCGTCACTAACATTACAGAGGAGAGAATGCCAAAAATAATTTTGTCTTTGTACTCCTGACAAAGCTCCTTGGGGAAAATGGTATATCCTTTTCAGCGGCCGTCATCACCTCTTGAAATGCTTCGTAGTAGGAGGAGAGGAAGCCTTGCAAGTTGGCCTTCCTCTTGTGGCCGTGGAGACTGGTGTAGAGAAAGTAATTGAGGTCTGTGGCCGGGGAAGCAATACGATTCAGCTGGAGGTCAAGGAGCATCACCTCAATGGGATCACCTTCAGCGTTATTCCTGGAATTATAGAGTAAAGCAGACTCACGAGCAACCCATATCAACACTACTTATGTTGGTTATGGCCAAGATAAAAATTACTGACAGAGAGACTGGAGGATAATTTTATGAGCTCCAGCAGCTGACCCCTCTTACAGCGTTGGATGTCCCATAAAGATTTAGCGCTTTACTTGAATGCATTCATTATTATTACTGAATTAAAAAACGAATGAGCCCAATT